CAGGTCCCGCCTGTCAGTCTGGCTGGAAGAGGAATCCTTAAAAGCCTACAGGCTTTCCTCTGGGTGCATCCACTCTTCTGATTAGGAAGCATAAGTATTTCAGGGTGGCTAATCTGTAGACAAGATCCTATTAAAATGGGGTGCTTAAAAGATGTTATGTAGGTGCAACCTGAAAGAGGAAACTTTTAAAGTTCATTTACAGATGATGGAATCTGCTTTCTCCTCACTGTACTTGCATCTAGCCAACTCCACATCAGTGATACCTATGTGATCTCACTGTGATGCAAATCTCTTGGTGCTCCTTGCTCTCAGGAGGACCCTGAAATTCAACATTTAAAAGCTCTGGATATCATAAAATCTCTTCAGGGAAAATAGACTGGGGTCACTGACTGAAATTTAGGGTGAAATTAGACTGAAATTTTGCTGATATAAATGCGAGATTTTCTGAAATATACCTGAAGCAGTTGAATGAAACACAGTGAAAGTTTGTGTGCATGGATAAGAGGGAGGAAAAGTACTAAATATATACAAGGAATCGGTGTGTTGAGTAGAGAGGGCTTTTCATCTGCTTTCTAGGGGGCTGCACTTTGGAAAGAGAGGATGTAGCAAATTCTTAATTCTTATAAAGTTGCTTTGCTATAAAGTTGTAACAGGTAACTCTGATGGGTTCAAACCCAGTCTCGAGTTCATTAATCTAGGGAGGAACAGGTCAAAAATACCACTCATTTAGAGAACTTGGCTTTGTAGGGGACTTTACCCGAAAGCCACTTCTCTGTCAAAGAGAGAGTTGCTGCCTATGCTCATGGTACAAGCTGCTGAATAGGACCTTTGTTAGCAATGATTCTTTGAGTGACAGCTCAAAACAAAAGCAAAGAGGCACAGCCAAAATAAAGCACTACCTGCAACTATTCCAGCTCTTCCACTTAACCATCTTACATGCTTTATTGTTCCTCTCCCTCACACAGTTTCTTGCTCTCCACGTTAGACCACTTATGCTGCAATTTTCTGCATGTTTCACCAAACCCAGAGGGAGGTGGCTTTCCTGGGATATGCCCATAGGGTCAGAGCCTTTTCCTATAAGCTATAGTAAGGGCCTTAATACTTTTTCCTAGGGTCAGCACACAGCTTGGTAGATCTTTAGGGCTGCTGGGGGGCTGCTGGCCCTCAGCAAGACACTGGCAGGGCTTTCTGCCTGTCTAAAGCAAGGAGTTGGGCAAGAGGAGGGGGACTGGTGCAAATCCCAGTGTCCCTTCATTGTGGAGCCAGGAGAGGGACAGCACCCAGAGCTGAAACCTCAGGCATGCTCTTAGAGCTACTGACTTAGAGTAATTGTACCATGGCTGGGAGAAAACTGTGTGCTAATCATAATCCAAATGGCAAGGCTAGGGTTTTACAAGGCTCCAGTATGGTATGGGAACGGGACTTATAAAGGCTTCAATCTGTCTATGCTGCAAGATTTAATCATACTCTTATTGTGAATTCTTTCTAGACAGTAGATGTGAGACCTGGGAGATCACCAAGAGCTTCTGCCCTCCCTCTCCAGCAGTCCAGTTTAAAGGTGAGGACTATGTCTGAGACTGGAGGAAAAAGGAAAAAAAATCTCCTTTTAAAGGTCCTCCCCTGTAGATCTGTAAGCAAGGAGGGGCAAGAACAAAGAATCCCCCTAGGGAGGCTGCCCTCAGTAGATGGATTTCAAACCCACCAATGCCTGTGGGGTGTATAAGCCCCTACAGAAACTCTTCTCCCTCCAGTTTAATTTCCCACCCAAGGCTCCCAACTTCCCTGCTCTCCCCACTCCCCCAACACTCGCAGCCCAGGAACATACTTGGGCTGGTTGTACAAGCAAAAACTGCCTTTGTCTGGGTCCCTGCTCCTTTCCGGTCAGATGCACTCCTCTTCTTCCCCAGCAGCTGAGACCAAGGGCTGAAAATGGTTCGGGAGGACTGACACACTCACATGGAAGAACTGTTCCAAAATCAACCAGAGCTGAAAAGTAGATCTATGGATAGGAAGCCTCTAAAGGCAGTGGGAAATGGGTTGTGGCACCTGGTATGTGACATCTGCCTGGTGCTTTAATGCCTATCAGAAAGAAGGGTAGGGGGGACCCAGCTATGGGCTGAGTGAGCTGGGAATTCAGGCTGGTTAGGAACACTAGTGATCAGTACACTGTAAATGAGCTAAGGAAGCTGGAGCCTGATCAATCTGCTTGCTTGCATTGTGCCCCTCCGTTTCCCTGGGACCTCCATTTTGCTCTGTCCATAGCAGGATTTTTTCCTCTGACTGCTTTGATTCGGAGCTACGTTCAATGCTTGCCACATATTTTCCTAATGCATTCGGAATGCAGAAGGGCTGTAGTAAGGCAGAGAAGACCAAACCATTTTATACCTTGCTTAGCTCACTCTTATTACAGCTCGGTAAGGCTCCTAACCACAAGCAGCTTGGCAGCATGCTGGCAGCCAGCAGCCTGGTTTTACACACAGTTTATAATACTGTTCTTCAGGGGAAAAAATGCCCACACCCAACCACCTATTTCATCAATGCATTTTAAAACCTTAATAGAAGAAGTCCAGTGATGCCTGAGAATAACTTTTCTCCCTGCTTCCTGGAGAGCTCCTGCTTGCTACAGCAGCACAGAGGAAGCAAACACTTCTAGTACCTGCTGAAGCACTTTGGCGGAGATTTGTTTGACACTGAAAAGCAGATAAGCATTGCCTGGCAAGGTTTGACTAAGAAAGCAGCCTGTCTTGTGCAGTCACTGGCTGTCAAAATTCCAGCAGAACAAACTACCCCCTGGGAACAGAAGAGAGCCTCTGAAATGACTCCCCAGTGCTTCAGCAAGTTGCAAGTGATTTTTCCACTCACAGTTCTTCCTTTCAGAAGGACAGGACCTAAGCTCACAGTGCTGGTCACTTTGTTCTGCAGCTGGGAGTTAAAAATATTTGTCTCTGGAACCGTCTGTTCTTTTGTTAAACTGATTTCAGTGCAACAGGACTATGAAATCAGCAGTTTGCTTTTGAATGGAAGCAGTGCTCCATCTTTAACTTTACTATGAAATGCTAATAGTATGGATGTGGGGTTAAAAAAGTACATCAAATAAATAAAATTAGAACCAAAATACCTGACAGGCCAGCATGGAAACTCTGGTACCCTACACACCTACAATTTAGGAAATGTAGGAATTTTAAGATTAGGTTGCTGCTGTTTGGGATTAAGTGAAAGTTTAAAAAGTCAAAGCTTTGAAAAAGTAGTGCAGATGAAAAGAGAGAGGGTAAACACAGCTTAAAGAAGCGGAGAGCAAGTCCTCACAGATCTTCTCCTAGCGCTCACTTTGGAGGGTGTTGCCCTCCGACTCGGTCCCATTGCTGCAGGCAGGGAACGCGGTCCCACCTCAGAAGGCAAAAGGTGCTTTCCTACTCACCAGTCCTGGCAGATCCTCTGGCCAGCACCAGGGCAGAAAGCAGCACAATGAGGTTTTGCTGTTGCATGTTGCCCCGGTGGAGCTCCCACCCGAGGGGCGTCTCGCTTGGCTCCCAGCAGCACCCAAACATTTACATTTCCTGTTTCCTGCCGGGGTGCATCTGAGCTGCATTTCTTCAGGAGATGGACTGTCTTTGATGGCTTTTAGGAAGTGATGTAATTCCGTCTGGGCCTGTCAAGCAAGCAATGATTGCAAAAGAAAGAAGAAGGAAAAAAAAAAAAAAAGTTGCTCTTCAAGCACTGACTTGGCTGAAGCACCTTTATGCTTGTATTTGTTTTGCATAGAAAGGTTTTGGTAGTAGGGGGACTACCAGGGTGGCTTGAAGCTTCCCCCATGTCCAATAGAGCCAATGCCAACCAGCTCCAGGATGGTCTCATCACTGGCCAAGTGAGACCATTAGTGACAGTGGTAGCACCTCTAGGATAACTTATTTAAGTTGAGGGAAAAAGTTGCTGTGCAACAGCAACAGCAACTGCAGCTGGAGAGAGGAGTGAGAATATATGAGAGCAACAACTCTGCAGATGCTCTGAAGGAACCCACACCAGAGCAAGTGGATGCCCAAAGGAGGCTGTGGCCTTGTGGGACCCCAGGGAAGAGACCCGCACTGGAGCAGTTTGTGAAGAACAGCAGCCTGTGGGAAGGACTCACACTGGAGAGGTTCATGGAGGACTGTCTCCTGTGGGAGGGACCCCACACTGGAGAAGGGGAAGAGGGTGAAGAGTCCTCCCCCTGAGGAGGAAGGAGCAGCAGAGACAACATGTGATGAACTGACCACAACCCCCATTCCCTGTCCCCCTGTGCCACTGCGGGGGAAGAGGTAGAGGAATTGGGAGTAAAGTTGCACGGGGGAAAAAGGGAGGGGTGGAAGTAAGGTGTTTTAAGATTTGGTTTTATTTCTCATTATCCTACTTTGATTTGATTGGTATTAAATTAAACTAATTTCCCCAGGCAAGTCTGTTTTGCTACTGAACTGGTGAGTGATCTCTCCCTGCCTGTAGCTCAATCCATGAGCCCTTCATTACATTTTTTCTCCCCTGTTCAGCTGAGGAGGGGAATGACAGCTTTGGTGGGCACCTGGCATCCAGCCAGGGCCAACCCACCACCCTGCTGTAGGTAAGTGCACTCCTATTCTGCTCTGCTTTTTTGACTCCCAACTTTACTATCATCTATCTTCCTCTTCCACTGTGTGCAATGTCATGGGATGGAAATCACACAAATACAAATTAGACACAGAAGATCATTTATGTGTGTTAGCAGGAAGGTTTTAAGTGGCTTTTTGGGGTGGTTGCACAAGCAGGTTTCACAAGTGCCTGCCTCCCTGCCTTGCTTTTCAAGCACTAATTCTCCCCCTGGTGTGGTGGGGCACTGTGTGCACTTATGACTCCAAAGGGCAACCCCTAAGTGGGCCTGTCTCCAGCAAATGGGAAAATGAGCAGGTTTGCTTGGCAGCCTTTAACAGTATTTTGGTCTTATTGATCCTGGGAAGAGGAAAGAGCAGAAAACAACATCATCTTTTCTAGGACCAAGTTGCTTAGCTGAAAAGCACTCAGATACCAGTCTGATGATGGCTGTAGATGACAGAGGGCATAAGGTCTTGAGCCCCACCAGGATGCAGTGCCTGTCATGGTATTCCATGGTGCCACGGTTGATGGAGGTGGCAAGGGAGCAGGCAACTCCCGCCTTCCTTCTTCCCTCATCCTGATTTTCACTCTTCCTCAGCAGTCTCCAGCAGGGGAGCTGTGCCCCTCAGTGCTGCCCCATCCTCTGCACCCACTGCCCCACCACTGCCCACTCACTCAGAAACATGTAAGTGTTCACCTGGGGCTCTGTTTATCGTGTGTCACTGGGTAGGAGCAACAGTGGCGCTCAACACTAAAACCAACGTTTTGAATCTTCTTGCTATATGAGGTGGGCCTAGCCAGGGCTCAGAATTAGGAGCTGGATCTAAACCATACCTGTCCTCAAGCAGGGGGCATGTTTGGACCATACGTTTGGTTTGTTCCACTGTGCAAAGAAGTACTAGTTCTGAAATTCATCCTTTCTGAGTGCAGGAGAGTCTGCACCTCAGTTTTTACTCTACAGCATCCCCAAGTTTGAGCCATCTTAAATACTTGCATAATTTTTTCCAGTAATAAGCTAAGGAAGAAGAGATGTATGCTGCCAGTGTAGCAGCTTCATGGTACTCCTAGACAATAGTCTGGGTCAAAATGTAATTTCTGGTGAATTAGTTAAAGCTGGCAGTGGTGAATCTTTCTGTTGGTGGGAGCTGTTGAAGGGACCAATTGTTGCTCTGTTTCTGCAGCTAATAATTTCTCTTAACACACTGATGCTTTTATAGGTCATCAGTTATAGTTTCTTAGCTTGAGTGTCTGAGAAATAGGTCAGTGATCCATTTAATGACCGGCTTGGTAATAGATTTAAAATGGTTGAATGATTTAGTTAACTGAAAATCTGAACTGGTTGCTTAGTATTGGCAATGTATATTTATGCACCACATAAAGCAGTGGGCAAAAAATTCAAAGTGATGGCATTGCAGCTGCAAGGTGACAAAGGGGAGCTCAGAGTTAGCTGACTAACTGACTAAATATTTCTACGAGATACTCTTTAATTGTGATGTCACAGCCATAAATGATGCTACTTCCCACGCAGAAGTGTCAGCAGTGAGACTTTTGAGTGCTTGTAAGATTTTCCCGTTAAAAAAATTACAGAAGTTCCAAGTAGTAGTAATAGTGTCTAATTGATGCAGTATGAAAACCCAGAAATTGAGGCTACCCAGGCATTTCTTGTGTGCTCAGAGGCATCATGGCTTTGTCTAGTCTGGCAAGGGGAAGGTCAATAATCAACCATTGGAGCAGCACAGTCAAGGACTGTCTGTGTTTTCATGAGCATAGACTCGGGCCCTAAGGCTGTTACTATTGTCCAGCCTCAGCTTTTCTTTAGCTTTGGTCAACAGTAGGAAACTCATGCTTTTTAACAGTATTTTTATCTGTCATTGATCTAATGCATGAAGGATGTGTTATCCTACTTGCTGCAGGGTGGATTCATGGGCCAAGGCCACCTGTGCGAGATGTAACAGCAGGGTGCTCAGGTGGCCAAGAAGGCCAATGGCATCCTGGCCTGCATAAGGAATAGGGTGGCCAGCAGGACCAAGGGGGTGATCTTACCCCTGTACTCAGCACTGGTGGGGCCACACCTCGAGTACAGTGTGCAGTTTCGGGCCCCTCACTACAGAAAGGACACTGAGCTACTAGAATGTGTCCAAAGAAGGGCAATGAAGCTGATAAAGAGTTTGGAGCAGATGTCTTGCGAGGAGCGGCTGAGGGAGCTGAGGTTGTTCAGTCTAGAGAAAAGGTGGCTGAGGGGAGACCTTATTGTTCTCTGCAACTGCCTTGGAGGAGCTTGTAAAGAGGTGACGATTGGGTGGCTCAATGATGTTACAAGTGACAGGACAAGAGGTAATGGCCTCAAGTTGCACCAGGGGACATTTAGATTGGGTGTTAGGAAGAATTGCTTCAGTGAAAGGGTTATCAGGCATCGGAACAGGCTGTCCAGGGCAGTGGTAGAGTCACCATGCCTGTAAGTATTTAAGAGTCATACAGACATAGTACTTAGGGATATGGTTTAGTTAAGGACTTGTCAGTGTTATGTTAACTGTTGGACTCAATGATCTTTAAGGTCTTTTCCAACCTGTGGTTTTGTGATTCTGTAAAAAGTCTGGAGAAAAGGAGGCTGAATGGAGACCATATTGCTGTCTACAACTACTTGAAAGGTAGTTGCAATGTAGGGCTTGGTCTCTTCTCCCTAGTAATAAGCAACAGGACAAGAGGAAATGGCTTCAAGTTGCGCCAGTGGAGGTTTAGGTTAGAAATTAGAGGAAAATTCTTTACTGAAAAGGTAACTAACAGTTATTTTACTAAAGCTTAGGGGAAAAAATCCATAAGGAAAACTGGGAAGTGCCCAATTTACAAGTTATTGACTTGTATGCTATTCTTGGTTAAGCCAAATCAAACCTGCAGTGTTATCACAGCATTGACAGTGGTGCAGCCAGATAACTTGCACAGGATCATAAGGAGAAGCACAAAGGGCAGATGCAAAAGCTCATAGGGGCACCAGGAGAGATTTAGATTGAATATTAGAAGAAACTTCTTCATTGAAGGGGTAATTAAACACTGGGATAGGCTGCCCAGGGTGGTGGTTGAATGTGGTGCTTAGGGAGATGGTTTAGAACTGGACTCAGTGGAGCCAGGTTAATGGTTGGACTTTACGATCTTGTTCTTTTCCAGCCAGAACTATTCTGTGTTTCTGTGATTCTGTGACTTCTTCCCCATCTCTTTCTTGAGTTTGTCACTATCAGTCTTTCCAATACCCCATGAGCTGCAAACATTTTTTCTCCATTTGTCCTGTCCTGTGTTTTTGGATGTTTTGCCCCATTTTGTAGACTTAGACCAAAACACTCCTTACTTCCTAAAACAGCCTAGCTAGAAAGTCTAGCCTAGCCAGAAAGACTGGAAAGGAAAAGAGAAAAAGAACTTACTGTTTTTATTTTGTATTTTTGCTGCATTTTTATCTCCTGTTTCTAATGTACAAGACTATAACCTTTCCTCTTCTCCCTTCCAGTCTTTCTATAAAGGTTGTAGCATTTCCCACTTGAATTCCCACTAACTGTTTTTGATACACATTCAGGTAACAACTCATCCTTGCCCATTGAGAGCAAAAAAGCCACCCACTGGTTTGTACCCCATTAAAGATTTAAAAGGCAAATTAAAGTTCAGGAAACATGACTTTGTGCCACATAACATTTTAATGAAGACTTTAGAGTGAGATAAAGGTAGCTTGATGCCTAGTTGACTATTTTAATTTTTTAAAAAATATATAGAGAAAGACAAATGAGAAATTTTAGATGTTGTGAATTAGACTGTCATGGAAGGTCCGTCTCTACCATCATCATGATTGTGCTTCTCCTGCAGCACTTCCAGCAGGCTCCCTTTCACCTGCCTGGGAAGCAATGTTAGTACCTTGGCCTTGGTGGTCATCTTCAGCCACATGCTTCTCTTTTCACAGTAGAAATAT